TCATATTAGATGTAATATAGTGCTGTCTCTTGCCCATTTGGTGTCTCACCAGCTAGAAAACATTGCAGTTTATGTTTAAACCCTTTATTTCATGATGGCATGGGCATGCAACAGAATTGAATATGGTTTTTGGACTGACCCTTTCCTAAGTCCCTTCAGTATATTTTCCCTTTCCTCTCTTGTCGACATAATAGCCTAACCATGGCCTTTGAGTGGTGAAGAAAGCGAGGCCTGTTGAGGTCAGCGGCAGTGTTACTACATCAGCTAGCCTATACTACACCAGTGCTGCCTGTATACTGTCGTTGGTTGTAAATCTCCTGTGCTGTGTCATGTGAAATTTGTCTAGCGGTGTGCCTGCCTCCGGCTCTAAACACAGATTGCCGTCTTAGCGGCGAGCCACTACATCCAGAGATTTCTTTTTGTGTCCCACTTTCAGCAGATGGTCAAAAGACATGACGGGCATTGCAGCAGGGGCTGGTGTCCAAAGTGGTGTGGTCAGCTAATGTGAAGGCCAAGGCATACTGAGTCGGTAGCCTTGCTACATCTTTGGTTTTATAGCAGGATATTTTATTTTGTTTATGAACTCTTGTATCTGTTCAAAGCAAAGCAAGACTGATCTTCTTCTTCCTTGCTTTCTTGGATAGTGTAGCAGACACTTGCCACTAAACTCCATTAGACATCTGGTTTAATATTCCCCCATTCTTCTCTCCTGGATGTTTCCAAGTTCATTGAGGTTTTTCTGGTCACTCCAATTTTCCACTGGCAGCTAGCGAGGCTATCCCAGGGTGGTTCCTCCTGGAGGGCTGTCAGGACTCTGGGGCCAGCCTCTGTTGGGCTTTCTGCTGCTGTTATGGGTGCTTTTTCTCCTCCGCATATCATCAACCACACAGCTGTTCAAAGCTGAGAGCACAGGAGTAAAATTATGTTGCACTCACAACATGCAACACAAGACAACAGAGCATTGTTGTTAAAATATGAAGTTTCCTGGTTGTGGCTACATTAGTATATTTATTTGTTCAGTGCACTTTGGGCACCAAAATGCATGTTGTATTCATCTTAAATTACTGAAGTAGTAATTTGATTTACTTAAATTCTAACCTAAAAATGAGTGTCTCTACAGTTTAAGCACAACTCTGCATTTATATGGAGTGAATAACTTTGATTTTAGTTATTATGTTTCTGATTGAAAGAACCTTCAAACATGATTTTATTTTAATTAAATAGGCAAGAAGGCTTCATACACATGGATATTTATACTTAGCAGCAACTTTTTAGGTGCTAAAAATCTGATCTTCTTTGGTTCATTGCACAAAGAAAAAAAGAGGGTCTTGATCACCACAGTTCCATGGCTTGTGTAATTGGCTTTCATTATGGCCAGGCAGAGCCTTGGCAGTGGCAGACCCACCAGGGGGTGACAACCAGTACAAGCCCCATCATCATCATTTTCCCCATGAGCAGCACAACTCAATGGGCCCAGAAATGGGCATGCATCTATGGCTCAGGGAACCACCCTTTCTCTGGAAACTGCCTTTATCCCGTTTTAAACATTACAGTGACGCTCTGTTTGTGCGTCTATGTGCAAATGTGTTTTTAACAGTGTATGTGTGTAGGGTGGAGGGCAGCGTGAGTGTGTTGTGTATTTTTATTATGTGGCCGGTCACATTTGTGTGCAGATGTATGCGTGTGAATGCACATACATTACGCTTGTGCGCCTGCATCCGTGCATGTGTTTGAGGTGGGGGCAGCAGAATGTTACCACAAGCTGGTGGGGCACAGCTCTGCTGCTAACCAAAGAAGCAAGTGGTTGTGAGTCAGTCCCCACTGGGCAAACCTGTGGCCGTGGTATTAGCTCTGCAGCACCAGTGCCAAGATAGGAAATTAACAGTGGCTTTGGGTGAAAACGTCTCTGAGAGTTCAGAAGTAAATGCTCCTGGGACTAGAATAAGAAGTGTAAAAAGTCCCTCTGAAGAGGAAGAGGAAATTAAAGAAAAAACATCTGCAAATGGCTGCATATAAGCAGTTCAATTGGAAGTACTTAATGCATATTACATTTTAAAATGCTGAAAAAAAGCTCCGTAAAATTAAGCAATACACAAAAATAAACCCCAATCGATAAGAACATTTTACTATTCTGCTTAATGCCAAGCAGTCATGCCTAGGGTAGACTCCAGCTAACACTAGCAGCCATATGACCGCACTGTCTGGGCCCATTAAATAAGGTAAAATAAGCAAAGATTTTACGTCTAGTAACTTAAAATTGTTAAAAGTTTATTTGGTCAGGCAAAATGACACAGGCCATACTGTATTTTCTTCTCTCATGTCTGAAACGTGTTTTGTTTCCTCATAATTTCCACTTTATTGTTGTACTTTGCTGCTGCAGATGTAAACATTTCCTCCATTTGCTAATTTTAGGATATTAATCCTGTTTTTGGTGGACACGACTGTAGGTATGTCTGCAGTATCTGATTTATTGTAGGTACTGAATGTTTACAAAGTTCAATGTATAACTATTTTACCGTAGCTCCCTTTTGCACTCAGAAAGTTTTGTATATTCGCTTTGCTTTAATTTTGAGCATGTTGCAAGCAAAATGTATAACAGAGTGCTCCATGATTTAATGGTTAACAAATATTATTCAGTAATTACTCATCAAACATGATTGGTTCTTCTTTACTTACACATAAATAAGTCTCTGAGGGATCTATGACTACAGAGGATTTGAATTATCATTTCTCTTCACACCCAAATCATCAAGTCACAATGTCCAATGCACTGGAGTTGCTGTTTAGATCTAAAGTAATACAGTGAAGTTTGTTGCCAAACTGAACTGACAAGCTTCTTGGCTTGTCTCTGAAAGCCACTGACGAAATGTTAAATAATCAAGGAGCTCTTGGCTTTGGCTTTTGTGCTAAAAAAAAAAAGTGCATTTTACCTAGAGAGATTCAAATAATTGCAACAAAGTACATTACACAACATACATCAAAAGACTTGCAAAACATTCCTCTCTGCTCTGTGGTTAGCCTTGTTTCAGCTGCTTGGCCCCTTCCAGATTACTGCCAGTTGAAAGGAGACCAGGGCTGTAATAGCCCACAGTCTGTTTTAGACCAGAGGAGGCATTTTAAGCAAGCCCTCTGTAGCCATTAGGAGAGTAGTAGAGAACTCTTGAGATATTTAGAAAGAGAAAAGAATGGTATGGCATGATTGTTGTCATTGACCTTTTGGCTAAATGTGTACCATAGTCCTTTGGATCTCTTTTCCTCTTAAATCCATCATTGATATTCCAAAGAACTGTTATTTGACAACGTGATCCAGTCGACAAAAGATTAATCAAAAGCAATATTGATAACCAATGAGTCATTTAGGTGGCGTGGTGGTGCAGTGGTTAGTATTGTCGTTTCACAACTCTGGCTTCCTCACACAGTCCAAAGACATACAGGTTAATTGGTGACCATAGGTGTGAGTGTGAATGGTTGTTTGTCTTTATGTGTCAGCTCTCTGATGAACTGGCAACCTGTCCAGGGTGTACCCCGCCTCTTGCCCAATGTCAGCTGGGATTGGCTCCAGCCCCCTGCGACCCTGCAAAGGATAAGCGGTTATGGATAGAGATCGCTTAATTATTTATGTCACTTATCAAGGAAACATATGACGGTTTCACCCTCTCAAATGTGACGATTCGTAGTTCTTCTCCATTTTATATTATTCTACATTGAATACTTTTTAGCCTGACAAACCATGTAATTTTAAGACATGTTAAGATACGGGGATTTCTGAATATCATTTTTCCCTATTTCTTCATTTTAACGATTAAGCAATTAATTGAGAAAGCAACCAACATATTAATCAACAATCAAAATAACCATTAGTTGCATAGCACATTTGTTTCGACAAAACTAAATTATTAAAAAAATATTTATTCAACATTTACAAGTAAATGAAACATATCTTCTTTTTCAGAACCCTGAAACTGTGTCCTATTTTTGCTTGATGACGGTGCATTTTGCATTTTATCCAGTGGCATGAGCCCAAGCAGTCAGAGAATTTTCTCCACACACTCACTCACTCACTCACTCACTCACTCAATAAGATGATTCTTCCATTTGAGGGCTCACATGGTCAGATGAAAGCACAGGTGTAATATAAATTAGATTTTAGATTTTCACACAGCAGTACATGAGTATAACATACAGCACAGGTAAAAATATCTCCTGTTTAGGTCTAGCTGGCGATCTTGTCGTGTGCAGTCTTGGTATCATCTGGCTCTCCGGAGCGTCTCCTTTCTTGTCAGTGAGCAGTGTGAGCTAGGCAGCGAGACCTGCAGACCCCAGCTGTTTGCAGTGTGGGCAGCAGTACAAGGTGCTCCTGTAGTGGAATTCAGCACTTTGGACAGCACCGTCCTAGACCAGCTCTCCCCACACTGGAATTCCAACACTGCACTCTCGCAGGCTGGGCTCAAGGACTTTGCGGTTGGAAATGTGACCACATTTCTACCAAGGTGCAGTAGGAAAGCTGTTTAGGAGAGGGAAGGAAAAATTGCTAACTTATCAAGACAGTGTAGCAGTTTCTGTGCTGTTTATCAAGGTCAAAATCTCAGCTGCGTGTGATAATGGGACTGGACTGGCCTGTTGAAGTGTGCTTTGCAGAAGGTGACAGTGGTCTGCGTTAGGCCAGATAAGGACATATATTTTTACAGTATTATAAAAGTGTGGCAAAATTCTCACTAAAACAACGTTTACAGCTGTGTTGAGCTGATATAAAAAAAGATATCGATTTTTGGGTTTAAGGTTCACTAAACACGGTGCATTTTAGTAAATATTGCTGTGAGCTGTTGTCCAATCCGTCATTTTCATCTAAAATGTTAATATGGACCTTTAATGCTTTTGATTGATGCTAAACATGTACTGAGTCTGGGTTTTGTATTTTTCTAGTAAAAGTGGAAGAAGTACAACTAATATCTAATCTCATCCCAGTATTTCTTAACAAAGATCTCTTTTCCCTCTTTCAGGCAGTCGGGAAGCAGCGTTCACCTACGCCATCACAGCGGCAGGAGTGGCCCACGCTATCACAGCGGCGTGCAGCCAGGGAAACCTGAGCCAGTGCGGCTGCGACCGGGAGAAGCAGGGGTATTACAATCAGGAGGAAGGCTGGAAGTGGGGAGGCTGCTCGGCTGACATCAAGTACGGAATCGAGTTCTCTCGCCGCTTTGTGGATGCCCGCGAGATTAAAAAGACCCCACGCCGCCTGATGAACTTACATAACAATGAGGCAGGGAGAAAGGTAAAAAGTTTTTTTTTTGTACTCTCAGTTGCTTTTTCCCAAAGTGATCCAGAGCGACCAAAATCAAAACTAAGTCTTTTTGAATAAGTGGACGATATCACATAAGTAAGCAACTCATCCCACTTGTTAAGAAATAATGAATTGATTTAAAGCATAATTCTGATTTATTACAACTCAGATTTCTATAGTTTTCATCAGTAATATTAACATTGTACTCACCAAGCCAAACTTATGTTATAAACAGGCATCACAGTTTACAGACTGACATTTACTTGGAACTATTGTAGTTGCCCTAGATTTTTCTGTGCAATTAGATATTATTACCAAGATTTTGGGTGCGCTCCCTTTTGTTTTCATCTTTAAATATAGTGGTGTTAGATAATCTGGCTAAACTGTTGAAGTTTGTTTACAACTTGGCAGATTGTTTTACTGCTGCTAAATGTGTCTTGACTCCTACGTCTCTCCAATTACTTTTTTGAGTACAAAGTTATTATAAGTGATAACCAAAATGATGGAAATCAAACTAGAGTTTAACCATTCCTGCCCGCACTCGCAAACATTCTGACAATTCACGCCCACACAATAGAGATTTTGTGTCTTCTCTTGTCCCGCAGGTAGAAATATCTTATTTCACTGTCAGTAACAACTGAGAAACTTCTTCAAATGCCAGACTTGCCTTATTGTGATATCTTTAATAATTCTTTCAACTTAATTTGTTGGCTATGTCTTCATCCTTCTAGTGGATACAAGCTAAATCTGGGACCCGCAGTTTATTTTTTGACCGCCTGCTCCTTCCAGGATCAAAGTCAAAACCGCCCATTCCCATGAGATTTGCGTTGGGTCCTGCGGGACCCGCAGGATCCCAATCCCAATGCAGTCATCTAAAGCAGGCCCAAGTTGTAATGGAGTGGTTATTAAGGAAATTAGGAAATAATCTTCCTCTAAAGAAACAAAACATTTATGACTCAATACTTGACAAACATGCATGTGTTCCTGTATGGATGAATAGATGTGTGTGTTAATGTGTTAATAACACAACAACAGTCCCAGATAAAGAGCTAAAAGTCACACGTGACAAAGGACTGTGATAGTTGCTGATTGATTGATCACCCAGTTTGCCTTTCAGCAACTGGTTTTGCTTCAGCCAATTATTGACATTTCTTTCCATTCTAAGAGGGTGTCTTTTATTTCTAAGTGAGTGTGTTGGCAAACTTCATTATGGACATGTTTGTTTGCTATTAGTCATCCCAGAAAAGTCATAGAGGAAAGAAAGAGAGAGAGTGAGAGAGTGTGAGAGGTAAATAGAAGAGATATGATGTTATGTTGACAAATGGATCTAATTAATAACTTGGGCTTTATCGTGTCCACTGGGAAAATGGGGCCTGGCCAAGCATTGCCAGATGGAGGACTGCCATCCCCTCTTTCTAGTTCCTTTCATGGAATTATGAAGTGTAAAGTCAGGAACAGGATATTATTGCAGTTCTCTGCACAATACCAAAACATGTCACTGCCATTTGACTGCGTCTATTCAGGGTGTGAAAGCAGGCCGACAATGCCGGTGTTAACACAGCAGACTGATAGGGTCTGTGCTGCATGCCAGGGTGCTGGCATGTTGGACTGTCAGGGTTGGAGTTGGCACTGTTGCTGTTCTCACTCCGGGGCTTGGAAACTCAGATTATAGGAGGATGTGCAAAAGTAAGATTTTCTTTTTTGCCGGGACAGTAGGAAGCTGAAATCTTTCTTAGACTTCTGGTCAGGGGACGGATTCTGATTGTTCAAGGTGCACCCAAGTAGCTCACCGGTCCTAGTTCTTTACTAGCTTGCCATTATTGCTTACTGTTGAATTGAATTGAATTGAACTGCTACAGTGCACATTATTGTTTTTCTTGCGTTCTTGGCAGTTTGACAGCTTTTGGTGTATTACCACCACCCACTGGACTGGAGTGCGGACCAGGATTTGCATGTGGCCTATATGTCCAGAAACACGGCCAGTAGAATGATTGGGAAAGAGCAGACACCAGTGGGGTTTTTATACAATGAAACACAGGTGAAACAAAAAGCCGGACAAATTTAGTCCAATCCTGTTTTGTCTAGTCCTGAATTAATAAAATTGCCCTCTGGAAGACGCCATACAGCCGCTGCAGCGATCTAGAACATTTACAAAAGTCATATCTAATGCAATAACTTTGCTCAGTTCATAAACACCTCTTATACGGAGACCATGTTCATCATGTTGTTTTATTTATTAATTTGTATTGTGATTTACTATGATGCGTTTTAACCAACTTATGAAGCCAAAAGCAAATTTTCACATTTGTTGACAATAAAGATTATTATTACTATTAATCAGAACACAATGTTGTTTTTATGCAGAAGATTAGCTTCCCTTTTCTGCTGGGCTTTCTTTATTGTAAAAAATAGTTAACGCCTATGTTTTATAGATCTTGTTTGTTACCCCTGCCGAATGCAGGTGAGGTCAGTTCGTTGCCAGCACGTGCCATAAAAGTTTGTATAAAAAAATTGTCTCTGAGCACAAATATATTTAAGATAAATGCGCTGATAAAAATTATCCTGATTCTGATGAGGGAGGATGTGGGGTGTCCAGTGGGATCCAGCTGGGATTGTTTTCTAATGACTGATAAGAAGCATCATTGGAACAGAAAACTATAATTATAATAGATTCTGTGACTAAACCGAATGTAAAACAACACCCAGTGAATCACCAGATCTCTTTCATCTTGCGTCGGGGCTATGTGTTCGACAAGTGATCTTTTGATGGGAATCTGGTCATATTGGACTAATTAGTAACAGATCGGAGGCTTTGATGGACACAGTTTAAGTAAATGTTTCCATGCATCTGTCAGACTCCTTATGCCAGGCATTCCTTGTGGTTTTTGTGCTATACATTTTTGGAAATCCTCATACTGAATCAACATCCGAGGCGAGATTGATTACTGACCCCGTCTTTTTGAAGTCCGGGGGTGCTCGTGTTTTTTCAATCAAATGCCGCCAAATCGGGGAAACTCAAATACGTAACAGACAGAGATATTGAACAACTCTCTTGTGTACATTTCGTAAGTGTCTGATAGAAATGATGCTGAGGTGCCAGGAAAAAAGCTGCACTGGAAAATTGCCCTGCCAACCAAACTTACATCTTATACAACAACGACACATGCTTCGTTCAAGCAAGTCATGTCAGGGCTATTACAGATGTGTTAATGTGACCCATTCAGAGTCCAGCCCCTCTTTCCACAGTTCCTTTGCCTTTCAGAAAAGTTCAGCCGAAAATGAAGAGGGCATAGTTTTTATTTTGAGGTTTTTCAGTTTCTTAGTCCCATGGGGCAAAGGATTGATACTTAAATACTGACGACAGCGCACAATATTTCCCATATGCCCGAGGATTAGGCAGCAAAGAAAATACATTCTGCCCTGTGCACCATATGTTGGAGATAAACGCAAAGAGAAATTAAGTCCAAGTCTGAGTATGGGCATGACTAAAAAAAATTCACATTATTGCATTTAAAATGACTCTTTGACTAAAAGCATCTGAATCTATAACTGTAATCTACTTTCAAGCATGTGGCAACATTATTTTCTTCTATTTATCACAATATTGTTTAAGCAGTCAAATAAACCTCAAGTCTCTTGTTCAGCTGTAAACAATTAATTGAGTTTGTCTTTGTTTTGTACTGCATGTGCAACACATTTAATGACACAATATTCTAGATTCAAATTATCCAAGGTGATTGATAGCTGTATGAGATCCATGTTTTTAATTCCCCCTGTCATTGATGTGGTTTAGGGAAGGTAGACAAAATTACAGGATGGAATATTACCAGTAAGTGCAATTTATTCCCTCCTTCAGGACATGAAACTGCATGTCATCCATGACTCAAAATGCTGATATGCTTGGATTTGTCTACTTCACAGAGATCTGTCACTCTGTACTCAAGTCAGATTGGCAACACAAATCAAAGTACCTGTGGCATAATGAATTTACAGTATGAGCCAACAGCACAATCACCACTTACTAAGACAGATATAAAATACCCCATTGGCGTCATAGATTATACAAAAAAATCAAGTAAACATCTTCAACTATCAACGTCTAGTTGAGCTCTATTCTGCATTTGTTTCCACTTACATAGTGGTACAACACAAAACTAGCATTCAGCCAGCATCTGGGTAAAACTTGCTTATTTGTGAATGTTTAGTGTCCTCTTCACTCAAACTATGTAACATTGTTTCTTAATTTACTTACACATGCTCAAAATTAAATGTATCTCCATTGTGTCTAGGCCTGAACAATTAATTGCAATATTATTGAAATCACAATATCTGCCAAAATAATCGCAGTATGGTCTTTTTACCATTATTATTCAGCCCTAATTCTATTGGGGTGTGTCAAAATCTGGACAAATAAATCCAAAACTGTGAATGGCCTGATCACACTACAGGTTATTGAGAAAATATTCTTTATGAGGAGAACAGATCTTTTTAGGAGTCAAATTGTATGTCTATATTTGGTGCAGTTCTACAACTGTTTTGTTTTCTCTATTACTCTCCAGGTACTAGAAGAAAGGATGAAGCTAGAGTGCAAGTGCCACGGCGTCTCGGGCTCCTGCACCACCAAGACCTGTTGGACTACACTTCCAAAGTTCCGAGAGATTGGCTACGTACTCAAGGACAAGTATAACGAAGCTGTGCACGTGGAGGTAGTCCGGGCTAGCCGACTCCGCCAGCCCACCCACCTCAAGGTGAAGCAGACTCAGGGCTACCGCAAGCCCATGGAGACAGACCTTGTCTACATCGAGAGGTCACCCAACTACTGCGAGGAGGACGCAGCCACGGGGAGCGTGGGCACCCAGGGACGCCTGTGCAACCGCACCTCGCCACATACAGACGGCTGCGACCTTATGTGCTGCGGGCGGGGCTACAATACACACCAGTACACCAAAGTTTGGCAGTGCAATTGTAAGTTCCAATGGTGCTGCTTCGTCAAGTGCAACACGTGCAGTGAGAGGACGGAGGTGTTTACCTGCAAATAAGGACGCGAGGAGGCACCAAGGACTAGCTGAATGAGGAAGACTCGAGCGAGCAAGATGAAAGTGTGACCTGGACCAGTGAAAGATTTTGAAATAAAGGAATGGAATTTACACTATCAGCTCTTCATGGCATCGTTTTGCACAGCAGAATCTATCTAATTTCTTTTCAGAAAGTAAATGCTAAATATCAGTAGGTAATACCCCAGACTGTACTGTCACATAGAGATTGTGCTCATATACTGATGTATCCACAGTAAAGTTGTGACTACAGGTAATGAATGAGGTCCTTGTTGGGAACTGTGCTTTGCACTCTGGGATTTGTAATTGTTAAATTCACAAGAGACTCGTGCATGGAGAGGAAACACAGTAGCCTGGGAGTTGATCAAAATGACAGCAGCTGATGAGGTTGTGACTGGAAGAGATTTGTCAAGTCTTTTATTGAAAACTTTTAAGGGTTTTGTTGTATTTTCACTAAAGGGGAGCAAAAGTGAATCTTGACATGCATGACCCTGCAAATTGGCTGGGGCTTATGTTGGAGGTTTGTAGAAATGAAGAACATTTTGTAAGTATTGTGCGTCGGGGTGCGCCAAAATCTGAGTGGAGAACTCTGTTAAACCCTCTGCTGCCAACTGGAATATGGTGGAGTATGTTAGTTTTCCAGTCACACTGGAACTGTCTGTTCTGAACACTGAAAATAAATTGTTTATTTATGTTATAGTATCTTAAAACGAAGCACTAACGGGTAGAGATGTCTTTTTTGTACTAAGTGTAAAGAAAAATACTTTTTAGAACTGACTGAAGAGGACTGAAGATGTGTGTCTATTAGAAAATGACCCCCCAATCCCTAAACCACCTAACCTTTTCTTAAAAAGAAAAAAAAAGGTTTCATTTCTACTGGTGTGTTGACAACAAAAAAACATCATTACAGTGTGTTTCACATTCAAACACCTTGGTTCCATTTTACTGTAGCATAGTTTGTTTGCAGTCCTTTTCCCCTGAGCAGTAACATCTATTTGGATGCTTTTACCATTTCAGTTTATAGACAGTAGCAAGAATAATCATTTAACTGCAGAGATCCTTCCTCGACTAATTAAACATGAAACTGATATATTGCTGGATGTGTTGTTGAGTGCTGCACTGATATTTTCTATTCAGATACCACTCATGAGAACTAAATAAACTCCCATTTGACTCAGTTTGGCAGTTCATTGCTAAAATATCAGTTGAAGTTGAACCTGCAGTCTGTCTTAAGTTTTAAGAGAGACACTAAAATTGTTATTTTCTAAATATTTGTTAAGCTGTGATCAGTGGAGTGATGATTAGTTACAACTACACACCCATGCATATAATAGCAGAGGTAACAAAACCTATACAAGAGATTATTATTTTGTCTGTTATGCCGATCAAGAGTTTGTAGTTCAAAGAATATTTTTTTTCACAGAACACAAGGCTAACTTGCGTCTGATGGCTAACTCTTGTTTGTTCTCATTAGGGCTATAGGGGAAATTTGCTCCTATAGTAGCTCTGTTCTGCCACAACATTAAAGTTCTCCTATTTTAGGAGTTTTGTACAATATTTCTGTCAGCTATAATAAACTTGTACTCACCCAAGTAATTGCTGAAATCTGGGAATAAAGTGATACAATAAACTCGGACAGGGCAAAACAAAAGAATTCAAATGATGAAAAATGTCTGTCAACTGTGATGGACAAGTCTGTGATGAACAGACAGTTTGGGCAAAAATATGACTGTTCACCTTTTATAACTTCAGCTAACCTCCTTTTAGCTATGTCTCAGCATTCCCAGATCATTTCTATGAACGTGGTACGGATAGTGTTATCATAATTGATAGGAATGATAGCCAAAACTATAAAAATGAGTTGCTGTATGTGTTTCTTGACAAACAACAATATCTCTGTGCAGCACCTCCACTGGTTGCTGGTGATAAGTCAGTGCTCCCTGATGTTGTTCTCTAATAAATTATTATGTTACAGCATAACTGCCCGACAACCATATATTACCCTTTATATATTTATGTTTATTTCTGTGATTTGACAGATGTGAATTAAGCCTTAGGGGTGTTGGTTGATGTATTTTTGAACTTTGGAGAGAGTCATGGTAGCTGTTTCACTCTGCTAAGCTAAGCTAATTGCCGCCTCCAAATTTGATGCCCAAACATGAGAGCGGTATTTTCTCATCAAACTGTCAGCAAGAAAGTAATTAAGCAAATTTCAGATTTATTCATTGAATTCATACATCATAAATCGTAGTCTAACACTTTGCTTTGGGCTGAGAATGTGCAGTGCTTTGTTGCACTTTGTTATAACCACTTTTTGTTGACATATTCATGTTCTTGTCGTCTATTCAGCTTTAATACCATATTTTTCGAGGTCATGTGAGTTTACAGACTATATAGGCCAGTTTATATTTTGGTTTACATATTAATTAATAGGTTTAGAATGTATTATAACTTTTGCACATTAACAATACCCATACATTTTAGAGATTTAGAGACTGAGGTAGCCTAGTCTTTCACTTTGCATAATTAATCGAATTATGTGCATCAGTCTTATTTTATTTCAGTAGAGGTGCTACTCAGATGGATCAAACACAGTTTCATGTTAATAGATTTACATATTTACTCAGTTAAAGTAACTTATTGATATAACATATCTAGCATACAGCTTCATTCTGACATTTATATTATCTTCTGAAATAGATTAAAATAACTCCAACTGGAGGCATTTCATTTGACAAGGATGCAAATACATTTTCACACATAAAAAGCTGATGTGTCTTTAATTTAATAATGATCTGTATTATGAAACATACAGCCTATTCTTGAACCCTGAGTGAGGAATCTGCATTCTTCATTTTTTTGCTCAATGCATGTTAGTACAAGAATGTTCCTGTTCAGTGTTCAGTTGCCCATGTTGACTGTTCCAACAAATATCCAAAGCTATTATTTTCATAAATTCCCTCCCTTTGAAGAAAACACACACATTAAATCTGGTCATTGTGTGTGTCCAGATTTGATGCCAAACTTTATGTAGAGGTCTGTTTTTCAAACATTCCAACCACGCTTAATATAGTAACTGGCAAATGCATTAGGAAGCATAAATCATTAAAAATCAAAAATAAATAAATCAAGCAGTGTGCTGACTTTGACGTTATTTTGTACACAGCACATTTTCGTCGTATGCTGTGGTCTTCTGTCTTGATTGTGGCACGCATGGAACATAAGTCAATTATTTCTCCCAGCATGGAAAGGAGCTTCTTCTCCATGTCTGTGTCAAGCAGAAATGTGATCAGAAACACAGAACGAGAGGGGAAAAAGCACGAAGTTACAAGGATTATGGAAAAAAGTTTTTCCGTTAAAAATGAAAAAAGCAATGCCCCCCACAAAATAAATCCCCAGTAACCATGCAAAATGTGATTCATCAAGTTGCAATTGGTTTTTGTGTAAGAATGAAAAGCACTCATGCTGTTTTTTCAGGGTAATTGGGACTGTCTTACTTGGGTGGTCACAGCCACCTGTGACACCCCAAGTAACTATTTAACTCATCACTTTGCATGTTTATTTTCTGTTTTGGTTGGAACGGCAGATGATATTAGAAGTGTATTCTGAAAGCACGATGTGGTACAATCCATGATACTCAGGATAAAGTGAATGAAGATTTAGGATGACAGAATAACCGAACACTCGAGCCTCTCCTCACACTTTCTGTGTTGGCAGAGCCGTTTGGAGTCATTAAATGGGAAGAGGACCTTCATGCAAATGACCTGATGTGAATAGGAAGTGGCTCAGTGTGCCTCTTGTTTTTAGACACACAAACAAGAGTGTAGTTCTTTTGTGAGGGTGTTTTTGAGATGGATGGGATGGCTTGATGAAACAAGGAGGTGCATGTGTAGCCGGAAACTGCATGTGAAAAGAATGGTTATTTAGGAGGGGAGCTAATTGAGAGTGGTTTGGAGAAAGAGTGGGTACACTATATAAGTAGGAGCAGCTGTCGAACCAAGTTAGGGACTAATTGTAAAGCATGGCAGAAGATATGGTAAAACAGTTTTCAGTTTAGGAATAATTTTATGACAGTTAATTCACCATTTTTACTCTTTCCAGCTTGTGATTTATTCTGTGGTACTCTCCAACTTTTCATTGACTTTTATTGTTAATGTTGCTGATCACAGAAAAATAAAAAGCATATAGTTGATAGATGTCTGCATTTTTTGAGGCAGTGACGGATTTCAAAATCTGATACTTAAAATTATTTATATCATTTATAAATGACCATTTTGGACATGATCACTGTCAGTGGTTCCATCCAGCTCTTTCTATGAAGTGGCTCTGTGAAAGAGAGCCATGCTATTTCATTCATTTGCTGGACGCTCCCACTTGTCCTCCTGTATGTGAAAAGCATTGTAGGCAGGCAGCAGAGCAGAAGTAAGATGTGTTTTGTTAGTTGTCTGAAGCCCTGGGGACCGGAACCGCATAAGCTCCCCATACTATGCCCCGGATTGAGAAAAATAAATCCATTTGTTTTTTGACAAACATTTTGTCATTAAAAATATGAGATAGAAAAACAGAGTCGGCTGTGTGTGCCTTCTTCTAAAGCAGCTACTGTTTGGGTGTCGGGATCATTAGTTCATTGGGATATATTCTGCAAGATAATGCTTCTGGTCTAATTCACACTAGGAGCGACGCAGCCACTTTTCCAATTCAGGGTCCAGTTGGGAGGAAATATAGTCGTAAGGTAACATGACCACTGACATCACTGTTAAAGATGTAGCTTAAGTCTGCCAAGGCCCCGCATTAACCATATGCAAATGTATCATATGATCCTGCTATTCAGAGTTCACTGGCAAGACATATCAGAGTCTTTAATGCTTTGGGAAACCAGGGTAGCTTCAACAGACTCGAGAAAGGATGTGAAATAGTCATGAGACTGCCAGTTTTCATTTACACAGATTGAAGAGAACAGGAAAGACAGAACAGTGGGAGTTTGTGTATACAAGTGATGGTAAAATGATTTGAACCGATAAAGTAGCTCAGAACAGGTCGATCCCCCTGAGTGATTTCCTTCTTTGGCTGACAAAATCTTTTACTATTTGCAGTAAAGAGAATTTATAATGGCTGTCTGTGTAATTGAATGGATCTTAGCCAAGGGCAAATATAAAAGTTTTAGTTGGGATTGTTTTGTGCTTGTTCAGAGCAACATTTCTTTATGGCAAGTCATTTTTTCTAATTTCCTTCCCTGTTTTGTGAAGTGACAAAAGCCCTCCCAAATTCCTTTGAATTAGCTCCAACATTCTGCCTGCTCTTGTAATTTGTAACTTTGGCAAAATGAAACAGCAACGTTCAGATCAGAAGCTTGGCCTCTCAGAGATAAGACACATCTGTGAGAGTGGGAGAAGAGAAGCAAGGGTGGCAAAAAAATAAATTACCCAAATGAAGGGATGAAATAAAAAATCGAGGAGTCAGAGGTCTTCTGAGCTGATGCTTGAGAATAGCCAGATACAAAGTGAGAAGAAAAGGATTGTTGTTTTCCAGACGCCGCACTTCAATAACAGACTTCTGCTCAGTCGAGGAAAAGGATATTTAACAGTCCCATGGATCATGAATTATTCTGGGGCAATCCTTTAAGTCTTGTTTGTTATTCCAGGATGTAAAGGCTTTGGTTAAGGTGACACAAACATGGAAGTACTACTGTGCTGAAGATTTTAGCAGCCCTCAACATGGAAATGCATTCAGTCTTTGTGATAATGCAGGTTTAAAATGTTAAAGTTCTCAAGAAAGCAGAAGAGCACACAATAAAGTTTAATGCTGCCCGCAACACAGCCTGCAGCAATTAAGGCTGTGTTGCGGTATAATGTATAGTCATTTTTTTCATGTGATCGCTTGGTGTTTTTCTGTGTTCCTTTAACTTTGTTTTGACTGCTTGTCTTAGTGAAAGACCATCATTTGGAGGTTTCTCATCATCTGTTTGATATTAGTGGTGAGGAACACATGGCCATTCAAAGCCAGAGCCCTGTGTGACATCATAGACCACAAGGCAAAGTGGGGATCGTCAAGACCCCAGACTGAGGACTCTGAACACTACCTGACTGCCTTCATCCATCTGCAACTGTATTGTGCAAATAATATGCCAGCGTGGGTCTCTCTTTCTGATGCATGCTTGGGGTTTTTGCAGAACTGTGTGTTGTCTCTTCTGCACAGACAGTAGAGACCCGAGAGGCTTTTTTTTCCAGAATATCTTCAGTGTCAAAATAACATGCAGAGCACAATAAACTGAACTGAAATCAACTGTCAGACTTAATAGCAAAGACTGTGCATGATGATTAAATGAAAAGGAGAGAAAAAAAGAGGAATGATGCAATACAGTTTTAATCTAAAATCCCTTACCCACACAACTGTTTAAAGACAAAAGCAGCTTTTCTTGTACATATGGTTCTGACTGAACAGGTTCAAAAATGTTTATTACAGACACTGTAAATAACTTTAGATTCACAGATAGCAAAGTGAAAGTTCTGACTATATATATAAGCAGACAAGACATTAGCCTGGGGAGCAATGACGCCCAATTTGGCGTTCACACCTGTTTATGTTGGACTGGGGCAGTAAGCGGTGCTTGTAAAATATGAGCGAGGTTAATACTTATGCGGTGACGCCCTCAGGCCTCACAGCTACAGTAAGGACAGCATCAGCAGTCTGAGACGATGGGATGGGTCTAACCCCAGGCACTTCTGAATTTGTGTCTGTGTTGATGTGTAAGCACAGCTCGTTCTGTAGATTTAAAGAGCACTAAGCATTTATTTGTCTGCTCACCTCACTTCTTGCTTCTGTATGCATGCCACTTATTTATGTACGATAGGTGTGTGTGTTTGCGTCTACCAGTCGGTGTGTGAGACAGACACATCTCTATGGGAAGTGGGTTTCTACGTGGAGACATTTGGCGAAGGGAGTTCGAGGACAGCCCACACGCGCTTTTGTGCTGCTCAGTGTCCAGTGGTTGGCTAGGCCACGGCTTCTCCTTGAGGTTATTTTTCTCCTCACTTTTTGTTTTCATGAAGTGAGGTCGGGGTTCTAAAAGCAGACTCCACCTAGGGAAAAGCTACAAGACCCTTAAGGGCCCTTTTCTTAGCACTTCACCCCTCACCCTCTATGAGACGAAGCAGAAGACAAACATTCTGGATGAAGTAAATTACAATTTTCACGAAGATGATCGCATGAAAAATAATATCTTGGAAATACATTTTCCATGGCCTGTTGGTAAAGTATTTCCAAGGACACAGCATGAAGTTTTACAGTTAATTGCTCAGCAATTCATCTTTTTAAACCATGATTCATCTTTCTAGCAAATTGAATTTGACATTTAATTATAATGCTGCAAAAAATAAATAAATTAACTTACTAAAATTGCTAAATAATTTACTCCAAACTATAGAAACTCAGAAAGTGCTGTACTCTAAATGATCTGTTCTGATAAAACAACATCAATATGCTACACAGCTGAGACCACATAACTTGACACTCTACAGCTGCCATTTGGAAAATATTGGCATTTTTAATATTTTGGTTAACTTACACAGCACGCAAATGTCAACAACAGGCTCAGAAAATCAGTCTTGAAATAATTTTCTCACCTCGAGTAACTTTACTCCAACTCTAAGCTCACTGAGAAGTCTTTGATTGAGCAGAGTTAGTTTGCTACTGTAAATCAGCGAGTTGTGGCAGCAGCAAAAAGTCGATTACTCTTTTTCTCCACTAAAGACTGACAGTCAGGTCCAGAGAATAGTCTAGGAACACAGCCAGTGCCAGTGAGATTCAGTGACAGTGTATCATCCTTCCCTGTCTAGCCTGTGGAAAGAGCAGTGGTGGAGGTGAAGAGGTTCCATGATGTGGGTCATATACATGGAAAGTTCTGCTGAATCTTGTTTTTCCATGGGGATGGAAGGTCACCGGAACAACACACAAACAGCTCCAACTCAACATGTAGCTAAGTGCACTGCACAAAACACTGGGTCCTGTTGTTCAACCAAAATTATCTTACTACTTTTAATGGCTTTTACGGCTGTGTCAAATTTTAAATGTTTGTGGCAGGTAATGATGAGCAGCATGGTGACAAAGTTTGCTTAACGCAAGTGAACTTGTCCATCTCCTGCTCAGAGAGTTGATGGCTAACTCAGTCTGTCAGCAGAGTGCACCGCATGGAAAGCAACATCAGAGAAACTGGTTGCCCAGCGCTTGTATATTTCTGTCTCCATCTGTGTCACCGGCTGGAAGTGGGCTAGTGTACATGCCTTTGAATATGTAGGGCATTGGACACCAGCTCCATGTGGTTTGGGAGAAGTTAAAGGCTGGTTGGGGCTTTAATCCGCCAACCCTCCTCCCAGTTTTTCCCCTCTTTTTCTTGTCTCTGTGGGTCCCATTTCCCCCACCAGCTCCCCATCTACCACATAGGCCCGTCAGCACCCCAGCTCCAAAAGACCCTCAGCTCCCCGCTGCCCCCCTCCACTGCCTCCACACCAACTGGGCCTTGCCTTGCTGCAGCCCTGACGTCCTAATGGCTGATGGATGCACCGAGGTCACACTGATGATCTAGAGAAGTCCTTTGGTCCATCATTGAGCCTTTGATCAACATACTTAACCCTTTCTTCCTAAGAACCCCCCTCAGTGGATGAGATGTGGGGAGATTGAGTTACACAGTGCTGGGGAGTGGGCAGGCTGACATCCCTTTGGTAACACATGTCTTTGTTTAAGGCAAAGCTCTGGCACTGACAGTCCTCTTCCAAGCTCCTCTCCTTCTCTTAATACCCTACCAGAGTTACCAGGGAGAAGGTCTAGAGAGGAGATCCAGCCTCTGGGCCACGGGAAAACCTTCCTGTTTTTTTCCCTAAATGACCTGTCTAGTCAGCCATACTGTTAAACCAATAGAAAACAACAGTAATACATTTTACTCTTATATGCTTTTTTGTTGAGAGTTATGTGTAAAGGCCAATACGGCTGTCATATCTGCCGTTAAATATACAGTCAGCTGCCAGTTAGCTTAGCATAAAAACTGGACACAGCTAGCCTAGCTCTGTCTGAAGGTAACCAACCAGCACCTAGAGTTCTAAATTCCCTTTTGAACACGTTATATCTTGTTTATTTAATCTGTAAAACTATTGGAATTTAATGGTAGGTTAGAATGTCTTGGCCTTTATCATGTTTTGGATTAACATAACATAAAATTAATGAGGTTTAGAGGTGCTGGCGGGTAGATTGTTGTCACATTTGGACAGAGCCAGGCTAGCTGTTTCTCTCTGCTTCCAGTCTTTGTGCTAAGCTAAGCTAACCAGCTGCTTGCTGTAGGCTTATATTGTACAGAATGATATAGGGGTGGTATTTATCTTCTCAGCTAACTCTCAGCAAGAAAGTGAATAAGCATACTGTATTTCCCAACATGTCCAACTACTGCTTTATTAACAACAAATGTTGTATCAACTATTCATCAAAAAATAGATACGTCATTTTCAAACTGCCAAGGGCTCAAACATTGCATTTCTTAAATTATTTGAATTCACTTAAATCATTTGGAATTAACTTTTATATTTCCTTTTATATTTTAAATGTTTTTACAGCTGTTTTATAGCTAGGTACACAACATTGCTTGAGTATAATCAGTACACTGGAAAGATACATTTGAAGCATGTCCCATTAGTCAGTTTCTGTCAGCAATGTGAGTAATAATTTTATTTGCAGTGCAAGTGTCAACTCGTTGAGTAGGAACCACACTGGCACTAAAACAGCACAATATTTCTTGGGATGCAGAAAGCTGTGTGCTACCACAAAGTAATTCAATTCAATGGTGCTTCTTAGAACCAGGGTACAGGTTATGCCTAAAGCCAGAACTTGGTCTTTAGAATTATTTATAGTTCATCTAAATTATATTTTCAAGCCAGTCTGTGAATAACTCTAGCTTTTTTAAACAATTAACTTCTGTGGGTGGGAGAATATAACACAACTCTGAAGTGCCATATGTGTTGTAAATCTCATCAGAGCAAAATAGTTCATTTTATTATATTAATCAGATCTTTTGCTTTGAATTCTGTAACACAACAAATCAAATTTATGTTCTTACATTAGCAAAACAAAATGTTTGTTTTATGTTTTGAAAGATTGGTAGGATAAATTCTTTACTTTGAATTTGCTCAGTGATGATTTTCATTAGCCATACACAACATATGAAATGAAATGTGGTTTGAAATAATAGTTGCCCAAGCATGTTCATTTTGGGATCACCTTACCAGTATTCGGATATGTTCTATCAATTAGTGGGCTTGGGCAGAAAGCAAAGGAAAAATTAATATGTTTCTAATTCTGAGTATCATGGTTTCTACATATGGACCTGTATATCATCCTTCCAAAGAAAACTTCTACCCTTACATTTCTCAGTTTTATTGAGCTGAATTGCAATAAAATGAAATCCACAAATACATAAACGCATTATACCTCACTGGGAAGTGCTATTAGGTCTGTCTTGGAGCAGCAGTAAAATCCATTTTTAACTCCTGCCAGTTTTCTGGCCTGCGACCTGCAGTTACACCTCTCATCACTCAGGCCATTTAAAATTACTGCCTGCTCCACCTGGAGTCAAAGTGGTGGGGCACACAGACACTCCTGTCCTGTCATGTCCCAACTGTCTGCTTGTCTTTCTGTGGACTTTTCCCATGCGCACAGGTTGGTGAGGCAACAGCAGCTGTCAGACAGTGGTTGTTGGCAGGGCGTGGTGCCTGACCAGCGGGTCTGACCAGACACTTGTGCTGCTGCGCTGAGCCACGGGCAGTGAGTTGACCCCAAAGCCTGCCTCAGACTACTGGTTGACGTGCTGTGGTTGTCGGGGTCCATGACAGCATGGATGAAACTCTATGGTGTGGATGACCTGGACTTCCTGGGTGTGCTTGCTTGCATCGGGATTGGCTAATTTTGACAGCAACTTCACAGCTAAACAAACTGTGATTTGTGACCCGCAGTAATCCTGTTCTTGGGTCATATGCCTTCTTTTCTCTTTCCTAAAATATGCTACTTGAAGTTCCTTCAGAGAGATCTTTAGATCTGGCTGAAGAATAAATAGAGAACACAGCTTGAAGCGGAGTTGGTCTGAGAGGAATATGAATGATGGCAGTCACCATGGCAACCTCCTCATGTTTTCAGTTTGAAGCTGACATCTCAGTAGGTCCTGTTGTATGCTGATATGTGGGGATAATAAATGTTCTAAATGTATGAGGTGAGTTATTAGGAAGTCTGTTAAATACAGGGGTGGGACGAGGTATAAAT